CCTCCTCTCCTCTCTCTCTCTCCATCTCTCTCTCTCTCTCTCTCTCTCAAGATCTCTAATCTTCCATCTCTAGCTCCTCTCATATCAACTCAACCTACCAACAAAAATTATCTTAAGAACAATATCGAGAGCTTAGAGAGCTCAAATAAAGCCCCTATATTCAATCTTGCTCATTGTTGTCCATGTACGATATTTCAAAATACACAAATTCAGCTAATACAATTACATTGCATTGTAGGTTAGTTCAATCAGAATAGACGTACATCCTGAACGCATTAGAATATCACCAAATGATTGAGTATACAAATTAGTGAATTTTTCTGGAGTAACAATTCCCATGGCAGTGCACTTGATCATGTCACTGCAAATGCTTCTTCGTAGTAGAACGAAGAGCGGAAATTAATCATCCAGTATTTAAGTTGAAAAACATATAGTCATTCTGTACTAGTATGATATCTTATGCTATAATGTAGTGATCCTTATCATCCCAGCATAGTTTCTATCGTCTAGGAGATAATTCAACGACTCATTACGATCAAAAGTCAAATCAAATTTTATAATAATTATACTTCTAATTACAAGATTAATTTAGGCATGCATGTCAATAACTCGTTCAAGGATGATGAGGATCATCCCAAACCAACTATTAATTTATAATTAAAAAATAAAAAATTTGCCTTAAATTATGATTAGCTGCCATTTTTCAACATATGAACTGATCATCAACCTGTATGATACAGATCATATACAATTGTGAATTAGTTATGAATCACTCTTAATTACAGGGAATGTCCTAATTTGAGTTTTCTATTTTTATGCATTGTCTAGTGTAATAGAAATCATCCTATACAATCAGTCAAAAAATCTCTAACTTCACTAAACCACTACCTTGATGTGTGTGTGTAAGAATACTAGCTTGGGGTTCACCTAATGATAGACCTAACTCAAAAAGAAAGAAGGTATATAAAAAATTAAAATTACAGACTACAGACTAACCCTAGTATATTCCAAACTTGAGCTAATTTTGCATTGTAAGTGAATTTGTGGATTATAAACAGGTTAGTAAGCAGGGCAAACAATATTATAATGTAGTAGTACAGCAATAGAAAAAGAATAATAAAATTTTTATTATCAAAATCACAATACTTGGCGCCTAGATTTGCAACACAGATATCGTAAGTAGAATGTTCTATACAAC